GGCGGCGGCGCGGGGTGGGGAAAAAGGGGGGGGGATATGGGGAAACTGAGGCAGAGTGAGTGTGTGCCCACCCCATGGCACCCCCAAGGTGGGGGTGGTGGGGCACGGGCAGGACATGGGGACACCAGCAATGGCAGTGTCCTTCAGGGTAATGTGTCCTGGGGACAGGGAAACTGAGGCACAGGGAGCAGCTGGGGGTGTGTGTGTGGGGGTGTCAGGCATCCAGGGGGGTGTGGGGACACGTGTGACCCTGTCGCTGCCCCGTGGGTGTGGGGGGACACACGTGTGACCCCGTCGCTGCCCTGTGGGTGTGGGGACACACACGTGTGACCCTGTCCCTGCCCTGTGGGTGTGGGGGGGACACACGTGTGACCCTGTCGCTGCCCTGTGGGTGTGGGGGGGACACACGTGTGACCCTGTCGCTGCCCTGTGGGTGTGGGGGGACACACGTGTGACCCTGTCGCTGCCCTGTGGGTGTGGGGGGACACATGTGTGCCCCCAGTGATGCTCTGTGTGTGGGACACCGGGGACAAGGACGGCCATGGGGCCACGCGACCCACAGCGTGTCCCCCCCCACACCTCCCCTCCCTTCGGGGGCAGCGGGGTGGGGGCCAGCGTGTCCCTGGTCCCTTCCCGGATGGGATTCCGTGTCCCCTGTCCCCAGGCTCGGGGGGATGTCCCCCTGCCCACCCCTGTCCCTGGGCAGAGGAGGGTCACAGTTGGGTGTCCTCAAGCCCTGTGCCCGCAGTGTCCTGTGTCCCCCCCCCCCAATTTGGGGACATCTGGGTCAAAGCAACCAGGTCTGGGAGGGCCGTGGGGACACTTTCTCCCTCCGCCTGGCCCCAAGGTGTCATCGCAGACGCCCAAAAATAGCCAGGAACTCGTGTTCAGCCTCCTCCTGCTGCACCGCTCCCACAGAGACCCCCTCGCTCGTGTCCCTGCGGGGGGGGACCACACAGACACCAGAGCCGTGGGGTGGCTGTCCCCCCACCCGGGCTGGGACACCCCGTGGGGCTCAGCTCCCCGGGGAAAGGCGGAGGATTGATTCCCCAGGGAGGCAGAGCCCCCCACGCACACCGGGGGGGTGAAGAGGGCAGGGGCTGTCCCCTGGCCCCCCAGCCCCGGTCCCCCCACACGTGCTCCTGGGGTCCCCCTGAGAGTGGGGACCATGAGATGTGGACGTTGTCCCACGCACAGGGACCCCCACCCACAGGAGCACCTACCCACGGGGACACCCACCCACCCAGGCACCCACCACGCACATGAACACGTGTGCACATGGCTGCCCTTGCACATGGACACGGACACGCAGGAGCACCCACCCACAGGGACACCACACCCACACTCACACTCCACGACTGAACACGGATCCACGTGGCTGCCCTTGCACATGGACACGGACACGCAGGAGCACCCACCCACAGGGACACCCACCCACCCAGGCACCCACCACATGCATGAACACGCGTGCACGTGGCTGCCCTTGCACATGGACACTGACATGCAGGAGCACCCATGCACACGGACACCCCACACGTGGACACCCCCACACCCCGTGGAAATTCACCCCCAGGAGCACCCATGCAGGTGGACACCCACACTCATGGAGACCCACCACACGCATGGGTGCCCATGCACACGAGCACCCATGCACATAGACACCCGTGACTATAAACACGTGTGCACATGGATGTCCATGTGTGTGGACCCCCACCCACACAGGAGCACCCACATGCATGGACACCTCCCCCCCACAGCCGCCCACCCACAGGAGCACCCAAGCACACGCACACCCGTGCACACAGACACCCTCACACCCATCCAGAGAAGCCCCCATGTGCGTGGACACCCGTGGTCACACACGGAGACCCACCACGCACACGGCTGCTCATGCACAGGGACACCCACCCACATGGGTGAGCACCCACACACGTGGACACCCACCCCCAGGAGCACCGATGCGCAGAAGAAGAAGACCCACATGTCCACATGCCTGTGGACACCCACGCTCCCAGAGACCCACCACGCACGTGGGTGCCCACGCGCACCGATACTTACACACATGAAAACACATGCATGTGGCTGCCCATGCACATGGACACGGACACGCAGGAGCACCCATGCACACGGACACCCCCACACCCCGTGGAAATTCACCCCCAGGAGCACCCATGCAGGTGGACACCCACACTCACAGAGACCCACCACACACATGGGTGCCCATGTACACGAGCACCCATGCACATAGACACCCGTGACTATAAACACGTGTGCACATGGATGTCCATGCGCGTGGACCCCCACCCACAGGAGCACCCACCTGCAGGGACAGCCCTGCTGACAGACACCCACCCTGCACGTGGGTGCCCACGCACAGAGCCGCCCACGCTGACAGAGACTCAACACACACACAGATGCCCGTGGACATGGACACACACGCACATGGACACACATGCACAGGGCTTCCCATGCACATGGTCACACGCCCACATGGATCATCCACCCATGGGAGCACCCACGCACATGGACACCTCTGCACTCCCCAGAAGCCCACCCACAAGACCACCCATGCATGTGGGCGCCCCGCACTCATAGATACTCACCACACACATGGGTGTCCATGAACATGAGCAGGGACACACATGCACATGGACACACATGGACATGGACACCCGTCACACAGACACCCACCCACACGACCCCCCACCCACAGGGACAGTCCTGCTGACAGAGACCCACCACACACATGGATGTCCACCCACAGGAGCACCCACACACAGGGACGCCCCCTTGCTCCCCAGAAACCCACCTAAGGGAGCACCCATGCACATGGACACCCCACACTCACTCACTACATGCATGGGTGCCCATGAACATGAGCAGGGACACACATGCACATGGGCACACATGGACATGGACACCCACGCACATGGACACCCGTCATACAGACACCCACCCACAGGACCCCCCACCCACAGGGACAGTCCTGCTGACAGAGACCCACCACGCACATGGACGTCCACCCATGGGAGCACCCATGGACATGGACACCCCCGCACCCCCCAGAAAGCCACCCATGGGAGCACCCACGCACATGGACACCCCCTTGCTCCTCAGAAACCCACCCATGGGAGCACCCATGCATGTGGGTGCCCCACACTCACAGATACTCACCACGTGCATGGGTGCCCATGAACATGAGCAGGGACACACATGCACATGGGCACCCACACACAGAGACACCCACCCACAGGGACAGTCCTGCTGACAGACACCCACCACGCACATGGGTGCCTGTGCACACGAGCACTGGTGTGAACACACCTGCACACGGACACCCACCCACAGGATCACACATGAACAAACCACCCACCACCCAACCCACCCACCCACCCACACACTGACACCCATGTGTGCAACACCCACGCGTGCGGGCCCTCCACGCACGTGCACACCCATGCACATAGGTTTCCATGCACACACACACGTGGATGCCCACGCGCGTGGATGCCCGTGCACACATGATGCTACGTCCTGGCTGGAAATGTCCTCCACACCCAGGGCTGGGCAGCTGATGTCCTTCCCAAGAGCGTGGGG